AGGTGGGACCTGCATAAGGAGCTGTGGCATTTGTCCAGTCCCTTGGGGACTGCAGCTATGCCACAGGCGATGCCAGGCTGGCAGGTGATGCCAGGGTCACAGGTGATGCCATGCTGCCGGCGTGCCCCTGGTGCTGCAGTTCCCCTGGAGCACCCAGGAGCCAGGAGAGAGGCAGCCAGAGCAGAGGGGACAGTGTCCCTGCAGCTCCCTGAGAGAGCCACTCCGCCCCTGGCTGTGCTGGGCTGTGGGCACGGCTTTGTGTGATGCTCTGTGCCAAGCATCAATTATTTGGTGTGTGCCCCTCTAATGGCTCTTCTCCTCCCTGGAACTCAGCACATGGGCTCCATTTCCCAGTTTAGCACTAGCTCCAGGCTCTGGCAGTGCAGAGGTGCTGCCAGCTGGAACCTGCAGGGCAGAGTTGGGGTGGGCAGTGTGGGAGCTGGAGGCAGCCGGGGCTCAGCCTCTGTCCTCGGCTCATCCTGCCAGCAGGGCTGACAGTGCCCACGTTCCAGCATAGCTCCCATTATCCCTTGGCACAGGAGGACCCTGGCACCTCTGTTGGGAGCTGGCAGTGCCCGCATGCACCTGCCAGCACCAAAGAGCTCACCGGCATTTTCTTGTCCCTCATTAACGTGATGGAAAGTCATTTTTTGGGTCCTCTCCCCACTGCCACCTCCTGGATCAGGATGGGCGTGGGAATGCCCAATGTGCCCATGACCCTCCCACCCCAGGTGCACAAACCCCCAGCCCACCTCCCACCAGGCCAAGGAAGAGGCCCTTCCCAGCAGCTCATTTTTGGCTGATTCCATAAAGCTGGGAGGGAAAAGGGCCTTCCCCTGTGTGGAGCACGTGGAGCCTCCCTGCCTGCAGCTCTGGTGAGTGCTGTGGGTGCTGGGTTTTGGTGGGGTAGGTTGTGCTCTGGGTCAGGCTGTGTCACACACCAGTGTGGCTGTCACATGTCCTGCCAGGAGCCCTTGTTGGGCATCTCAGGTGCTGTTGGGAAGTGCCTGTGCATGAGCTCTGTCCCCAGGATGTGCCAGGTGGCTGCAGCTGGAGTGGGAGGGTGAAACCCACTGGTGTCCAAGTGCTCATAACCCAAAAGTTCCTGGTGACCTGTCGTGTGCCCATCTCCTCCCCTGCGGGATGGGCAAAGGGCTTTAAGGCTCTGTAGAAGAGACAAGTTACTCCTATAAAACAAGAAATGAGGGAAGGAGGAGAACTGAGCCTGCTCCTGGTGTCCCTGGCTGTGGGCAGCACTGCCAGACCCTGCCCTTCTGTGTCCCCAAGCCCCTGGAGCACAGGGACCCGTGGTCCCACAGCCTCTCCCTGCCCATTCCCAGATCTCTCCACAGGCCGCGGGCTCGGCGTGCGAGGCCAGGCTCTGTCTGCTGTTTCCTTATAATTTAAAAGCCTTCCTCACATTAATCTTTTTATTTTTATTTTGACAAATGTATGTTTCCAGGAAGTTGCTGAGGTCAAAGCAGCATCTGTTGCTCGTTATTTTGGGGGGATGCAGAGGGTCTTTGTGAGGGTTTCCAAAGCAACAAGGAATTAAGTGGTTTGTAAAGCGGAGAGGAGGAATGAGGAGCAGGCTGGGGCTTCCCGAAAGGCGGCTGAAGATGCTGATGAAAATCAGATCAACTCGGCTCTATTTTCTTGGAAACTTGATCTATTTTTCTTGTACAACTGTCAGCCTGACTCCCGTATTCCAAGTGCTTGGCCACTGCCAGCTCCGCGTTTCAGCGCTGGGATTAGCGTGGCCCCGGTCAGACTCACTTTCCCCGGCTCGTGCCGGGTGCTGTGGGAAGGGAGTGGAGCTTTTGGGAGTGGCAGTGCATGTCCCCTGACTGGGGACACAGGCCAGAGACCCCTGGGATGGGCACCAGGCCACTGTCCCCTGCCCCAGGGCTGTCCCTCACCCCAAACTCACACCACGAATTGCCCAGTGCACCCCACAGGGGGCCTGTAGCCAAAAGTGCTTTTTCTTTCAAAACAAGCTGAGGAGAGTCTGGTGCCAAGGCGAGGGCTGCAAGGAGCCCAGGAGATTTATCGCTGAGGAAATACTTTCTCCAGCGAGGGCTGACGGCCGCAGCAGGAACAATGGGAGATTCGCAACGTGAACAAAGCTGATTTCGTTCTTCTTTTTATCAATGCGTTTTCCTTGCGGATCCTCCCTTCCTGGAAGTGGGAGATGCAGCTTCCCCCGCGCGCCGGCCGTGTAATCAGCAGGAATGGCCATATCCTGGCTGGGAAGCGAGCTGTGAAACGCTGTCGCCCGCAGTGATTTATGAGCCCGTGGCAGCGGCCAGCGGCGGGGCTGGCCCGGGGACAAGGTGCCAGGGCGCGTGCAATATCCACGTATTCTTTCTGCTCCTCGCCGGCTCCCCGGGGAGCCGCCGGAGGAAGTTAATGGATTAGACACACACGTTCCACTTGATTTTTATTTTTTATTGCCGTGTCTTTCCAAATGCTTTTAGCAGATGTACGAGCACAATGGAGCGGGGCGATGAGCATCCCGGCCGGGCGGGCAGCGGGGCAGCAGCCAGGCTGGAAAGGTCAATGGGGAGAGTGCTTGCGTGGGGACACCAGGACAGCCTGTCCTGCCGGGTACAGTCCTGCCCCACCGGGGCCGTGCTCCTGCTGCGGAGAGCAGGGATAAGGGGATTGCAGCTCCACCGCAGCCGGTGCTGACCGACAGCCTGAGGCCGCGCAGGGCCGCGGGCACGGCGGAGGCAGCCGGGGCCGAGCGGGTCTCACACCCTGCCTGGAGCCGGGATGTCCTTCCCTGGCGGCTCACGCCTGTGGAAGTGGATCGTTCCCCCGCCAGGCTCACACTTCTGCCACATTATGCAATCTTCACCCGATACTGGGAATATGAAATAATTATTCCAAGTGATCAGATTTTAATTATGCAACACAGAGGATGATTATTGTACACCAAATTGGTGCCGAGTGCTTAGTTATGTATATGCCAAATTTAGTCTATACTATTATACCCAGTGGGTGGCCGTAGACAATCAGGAAGTAATTAGTTTTGCTGGAGGTTGTTCGCCTGCCTGGTTCGCTGTGCTGTCTGGGGAGCGTCTTGCTGCGCTCCGTGAATACCGCGGGCTCCGAGTTCAATACCGTCTTTTTGTGACAAGCTAATAAGCTGTCTGCATGGCGGCCTGTAATTAGCGCTGTCGATATTCATTTGGAAACGGAGACCGCGCTGAGCGGCTCCGCCGACGGCGCTTCCCTTTGTCGTGGCTCTGGGCTGGTCCCCCCTCACCGCCCGGGAGGGCGATGGGTGCGCGGGGATGGGGATGGGAATGGGGATGGGGATGGGGATGGGATGGGGATGGGGATGAAGATGGGGATGGGGATGAGGATGGGGATGCAGGCAGGGACCGGAGGCGCTCGCTGCACCCTCAGGTCCCTGCTGAGGAGAGCACCGGCCGTGAGGGTGCTGAGCCCCGGAGATCAACACCTGCCCCGCACCCACTCCTGTGTCACCCCGGCCCTGTCCTCCATGGGGGAGCTGCCACTGGCCCCAGGTGTGGGATGTCCCCAGGGCTCTGTCCTGGAAGGCTGAGCTGGTGTGGGGTGTACGGTGTCAGGGGGATGGGGACATGGAGGGGTGGCCATCCCCCTCCCCTGAGTCGTGGGCAGTCGGGGAGCCCTGAGCATCACTGGGGTGTGCTGAGGAGCTGCATGTTTGCACCTTTCCAGGCAGCCTGGTCCTGTGGGATCTGGGCTCTTCTGCGGAGGTCTCACATGCAGAATTCCTGAAGGGCCTGGGGCTACATGAGCTGGGAGATCACTGGAGCATCACTCCCCTAAGTAGTGTTTGCAGCTGGTCAGTGTTGTGGGGGCATGAGGAACCGTCCACTTCTGTTGGAATGGTCTGGATTTGCTGGGTGGGAATTGTCTGAAGTATGGAGCAACTTTTACCTCTGTTACACAAAGGAAACTTTCCTCCTCTTTCTGTCGGAGATGCTCACTCCATTGAGATGATTGGCATACTGGAGAGCTGAGAAACTAAATTGTTTATACACTAATGAATAGAAGCTTGATTGCAAGATCCTGTTTGGAAAATTATAGTGCTGAATTGAAGCCGTACAATTACATCCAAAATGCTGCATATTCATTTCATCTGCTTTGCATAGAGATTAACAAGCGAGCCCTAAAGCAGACTCTGAAATTAAAGCTAACACCAGATTTAGTCACAGGTTACAAACTAAATGGCATTGTTTGATGGATATGAATCTTTACCACCTGCCTGCCTGATGATTGCTAGCAGCTTAGCAGACAGCAAAGGAAAAAGTTTCTTCCCATGAAGGAAGCATAATAAGGCTCTGGGCTGGAAGTGCCCCCTCCCCACGCAGGCAGCCCCCCGGCAGATGTCTGCAGTGGGCCTGGGGAAGGGGCTCCCTGCTCCCCACTCTGCCATGCTGAGGCTGCACCCCCTCCATGGAGGGATGGAGAGGTGGCCTGGAGACCCCACAGAGGTTCTGGGTGCTCGGTCCCTCCATTTGGGCCTCCCGCCCTGCACGGGGGAACAACCTCACAGGGTCCTTGTCCCTTCTGGAGTCTCTGTGCTGAATTGCCCCTGGATTTCCTTCCTCTCCTTGCAAGGGTCAGGAGTCTGCAGAGGGCAGGGGTCTCTTGCCTGTCCTGACTGCAGGCAGCCCTTGGGATCCCAGTGCCCTGGCATGCCACTGGTCCCATCCCATCCGGCTTTGCCATCTGCATTCTCCTGCCCTCCATCCTCTGTGCTGTGGACAGGATTTATTTCAGCAGTAGAAATGGGACCAGGAAAGAGCAAAAGGAGTGTGTGGGAAGCAGGGCCCTGCCTGGTGCTGCCCATCCTGGCAGGGGCTGCTCAGGGAGCAGCTCAGGGGCTCAGCAGTCATTCCCAGCAGGAATCTTTCCTCTTTGGGAATACCTGGGAGTTTCCAGTCCACCCCACAGGCTCAGGACCCACTGTGCACGGGCCCCACGGGGCAGAGACACAGCACTGGCTCTGCAAATCAGTTTATTTTTTTCTTTAAAAGTCCATTACCAAACCACAGCGTCCTATGGAGGGGCTGGGCTGTCACTACTGCACTATGGGACAGCCCAGCTGAGCTTTACAACCCCCGGCCCGGTCCCCAGCCCCCTCCCAGCTCTGTCACTGCCATGGCTGGCTCTGGGTGTGTGTCCTGTCACCCCCTCTCCCTGTAGGAGCAGCACCATGCCAGGGACAGGCAGCACAGCTGCTCCAAATCTCCATTTCTGCTTGACACTTCCCAACTTGACTCTCTGACACTTTCCCAACATCCTCTGACAAACAACCAAGGTGGATGAGCATCACCCTGCCACTGGCTTCTTCCTTAAACCTTAACTCCTCCCAGGACACTCACATTTCTGAGACCAAACCCAAACCACACCGTAACACCCTAAAATCAGCACAAGGAGCAGCCTCCTGCCTGCAGCCAGCAGCAGCTCGGGGGGCACGGGAGGGCTCTCTGCCCTGACCCCAAGACATGGGGTGCACCCTTCCTTAGGGGGTCACCCCCCTGCTGCAGGCTCCCATGGCCAGCCCTGCACCCATCAGTGGCCTCAGAGGGGTGGCCCAAGCTATGTGGGGAGTGGAAAAAGGCACCTATGGAGGCAGTGGTGGCTTCACTGCGTGGGGACACAGTGCTGGGGCTGCTGTCCCCAAAGCAGAGCTGGGCACAGCGTGGGGCTGGTGGACATTGGCAGCTCTGGAGAGACCCAGCGTGGTGGCACCCTGGGGAGCTGGGCAGGGGAGTGGCACCATGGCTGTGCTGTGTGGCCCTGCTCAGGCTGCCACGGGTGGCAGCTGATGAACCAGAACAGCCTCTTGTCCCACAGTGCTGCACCATGCCCTGCCCAGGGCTTCCACCCTGCAGCTCCCTGGGAATTCTCTGCTGTGAGCATCCCTGGCTGTGTGAGCAGGGACAGGATGGCAGTGTGACAGCAGTGTGAGCTGGTGCTGACTGAGGCAGGGCTGGCCAGTCACATCCTCTGGGGTGGCCCTGTAGGTGGTGTGGGAAGCCATTATGTGGGACAGGGACAGGACAGGGACCTGTCTCGTAGCCTGGGCACAGGGACCCCCAATCCCAGCACAGGGCTGTGGATGGAGCTGCTGGGGCTGCCAGCCACCAGCTACCACCTCTTGTGGCCCCACTAAGAGGGGACTCTGCTGGGCCCCAAAGCAGTGTCCAGCTCATCTTCAGAGAAGCTGATGTGCAAGCAGGTGTCATCTGCAGGGGAGAAGGGCAGTGAGCTGTCCGTGGGGCTGCCCAGGGCCACTAACTCCTTGGCCAGGGCCTCGCTGGCTGTTGGGTCATGGATGCTGGCCAAGGGGGACATTGGCCCACTCTCTCCAGTCCTGTCCTTGCCCAGAGTGTGCTGGCAGCCCCCGGCAGGGCCGGGCTCCATGCTGGAGGCAGCACTCCGTGCAGGAGTCCTTGCCTCAGGGTCCAAGAGGGTGAGGGAGCTGGCAGTGATGCTGGTGAGGCTGGAGATGCTGGCACTAGGTAGGCTCAGGTGGGCAGTGCTCTCGGGCTTCACCTCCACTTCCAGGCTCGGGGAGGTCTTGCTTGACCTTTTGCGCAGGATGGGTGGAGGCGGGTTGAGCTTGGGGATGGGCGGCTGCCGCCTGCGGAGGGAAAGCAGAGAGAGGAGGTGATGGGCCACTACTTCCCTGCAGCACTCAGGGTGTTCCCGCTGCAGCTGGCAGGAGACAGAGGTGGCACACTCTACCTGTCCTCGTCCCCTCTGGCCGTGTCCTCCGCCTTCTGCCGGCCGCTCCCGTTGGGCAGAGCGAAGTCGCTGACCTCGGAGCCCTCCACGCGCCGGCTGAGCCCTTCCTGCCCCTCCAGACACTCGTCCCCTTCCTTGCTGCTGTAGCGGTGGCTGCCCCTGTCCAGGCTGACGAGGTTGAGGTAGGAGTCCCTGGGGCCCAGGGAAGGCAGCGAGCCGGGGGCCACCGGGCTGCCCAGGATGCTGGCAGGGGTGGAGGTGGACGGCAGGTGGACGTCCAGGCTGTAGTGGTTCTTCAGGTTCAGGGAGAGGGACTGGGCCAGGGACAGGTTTTGCAAGGAGTGGTCAGCTGTGAGAGATGGACAAGGGGCATGTGAAAAACTGGGGATCTCCAAAGCAGCTGCTGCCCTCCACTGTGAGGGGTGCAGAAATGCCCCAGATCCCCAGAGCCTGCTGGGATGGTACTGGGAACACTCCAGTTGCTTCCTGTGACTGCAATGAATGCAGTGATTGCCCAGAGGGATGGAGCTGGGGGCATGCCAGCATCCAAACAACCCCAGTGAGTGTGTCACTGTCCTCACCTGGCTGCCGATGCTCATCGCGGTGCTCCTCCCGGGCCTCCAGCACTGTGAGCTGCCGCACCAGCAGCGAGACGTGCTGCAGCAGGTCGCGGTTGGTCAGCAGGAGCTGCCGCACCCGGGCCTGCGCCTCGATCCGCGCCGCTGTCTCGGCCGCCAGCTGGTCCTTCAGCAGCTGCACCTGCGAGACGGGACGGGAGATGCGAACAGGGTCACGCGGACGGGGTGATTCGGACGGGGCGATGCGGGACCGGGCGATGCGGGACGGGAGGAGCATCCCCGGGAGCGCCCGGTACCGGCGGCGCCACAGCGCCCCCTGCCGGCCCCGCCGCGCCACCCCCGAACGGTCCCCCCGAGCCGGTCCGGCCGCGGGCGGGGATGCGGCGGCATCCCGGGGGTGCGGGGGGTGTCCTGCTGTCCCCCCGGCAACGAGAAACGCGCAGGGGATGTGCCCAGACGGGAGGCACCGGGCTCCCCTCTCTGATGCTGCATTGGGGGGTGGGATGGTTTCCAAAAACGGGATGAAATGGGGTGAAACGGGAGTTGGGGGCTCTACCGGGCCCTGCAACACTCCCAGAGCAGCCTGGGGCCGTGTGAGCAGCCAGCTCCGTGTCTGGGAGAGCTCAGCTGTGCTGCAAGCGATGCTGCACGTGGCGCTGAAAGCAATGCTGCGAGCTGGGCTGCAAGCGATGCTGAGAACTCTGCTGAGAGCTGCGAGCGGGAGCGCTGCCAGCACTGCTGCGAGGGCCGGCCCGCTCCCACCGAGCCCGGCTGGACGCTGGCCCGGGGGAGGAGAAGGGCTGGTGCCGCCTGAGGGGAGGGCAGGACGTGTACCTGGGCCACAGCCACCTGCGTCTGCTGCTGCTGCTGGAGGAGCTGCTGCTGGAGCAGCTGGAGGCAGTGCTGGGAGGCCAGCGGGGTGATGGAGGCCGAGGAGCAGGGGCTGCCCGGGCTGAGCAGCTGCTGGGAGCTGGCCAGGTGGAGGGAGCAGTTTTCAGCATCCTGGGCACAAAGAAATGGGCAGGTGAGCGGATTGACTGGCTCAGGCTGGGATTTGGATTTTGGGTCCCCACGGCGCTGACCCCAGCGCAGCAGAGGAGCTCCTGTGCTTGAGGCACCGAGGGGGTGTTGAGGGACAGCCCTGGGCTGTGAGCTCTGCACATCTGTGGGATCCCCAGTGTTTCAGAGAGGCTCCTTCCAGAGAGCTGGCAGAGCTGCCTTGGCGGTGTTTGGGGAGGGCAGGTCCCCAGGGCTCCCAGGAAGGAGACAGCAGGGAGTGACCCAAACACTCCACACCTTTCCGTGCTGCGGCTGCCCAGGCTGGGCGGTGTCCTGGTGCCTGAAGCATTTGCCAGTGCCTGCGGCCACTGCCCTTCCTGCTGCTGCCCTCCCCTGCTTGGGCAGTGCCAGAAGGAATGCACAGGAAAGCCCAGCCTTTCCAGGCACGCAAACGAATCCCATGGATTCGGGGAGTGCCTGTCACTGCAGCTGTTTCCAGGCAGCCCTGTGAGCGTTACTGTTGTGTGAGCTGAAGCGATGCCATTCAGGCCTCTCCGGGAAGTGCTCCCAGAGCTCTGTGGAGCACCCATTCATTAAGGTGGAGCTGCTGCTCGAGCTGAACGTGCCGTGGGTGCCTGCACTGCCAGGGCTGGGCCTCCTGGGGACGTTGCTCCCTTGGCCTGGAGCAGGAGGGCAGCCAGGGATCGCTGCCACGGCAGTCGAACAAGCAACTGCTGCAGAGCAGCACTGAGGGCACGGAAATCCAGCCTGGGTGGGGTGAGAAGCCTGCTCAGCCATGCACTGCAGCCCCCACCCCTGCCTCTCGCCTCAGCCCCCACCCCAGCCCTGGACACGGCCTCGCTGCGGGTGAACTGGGAGCTAACAGCCTGTCCTGAGCAGGGAGCCAGGAGGGAGGGCTGCAATGGGGTCTCCATGAAAGCACCTCCAAATCAAGCCATGATACAGTGACCCCTGAGCAGAGGCCCCTCAGCAGCAGCAGAGCACATGAACTGTTCTCCAGCCCACCCCCCATTACCTGGCCATTCTTTTCCTTTGAGGCTTGACCAGCTTTCAGCATGCCAAGGTCCCCCCTGGCACCTGGCAGCTCTCTGGGTCCCCTCTCGGACACACAGATGCCACCAGGATCGATGCCAACCTCGTCCACATCCGTGATCTTGGAGCCCTTTATCTGGTGAACTTCAAACAAGATGGACACATGAATGGGAGCCTCCTTTCCCTGCCAGGACCCAGTAAGAGCTGGGGCCCTGCACGGAGCTGGAAGCTGGGGGAAGCTCAGGGACAAGAGCCAGGACTTGCGCCAAGTCTCAGCATGCTGTGAAGGGGCAGGAGAGAGGGAATGGTCGACCGAGGGGCTGCAGACCCTCATCTCGCTGAATGAGGGGGCTCAGCCTGCCCCTCCCCAGCGCTCAGTAGGAGTGGGCAGGCAGGGCAGATTCCCCATGCTCCCCATCCGAAGGGCCCAAAGCTCTCACCCATGAAGGAGGTGCCACCTCGCGTGTCCCCACCCCGAAGCATCCCCGCACCGCTGCCTTAGGGAGGGGCGCGCCCAGGCCCCTCGGGGGCCCTGAGTCACCTTCCAGCGGCTGCTCCTCGGCCGATTTGTCGCTGGCACCGTCGGCCTGCCCGTCGGCGTTCTGCAGGGCGTGCTGCAGGCTCAGCTTGTGGCACACCTCGAAGGCCTGTCCCACGGTGCGCACCACGCGCATGGCCTGGCTCTGCGGAGCAAACCCGGAGCTGCCAGCGGGGGAACCGCGAGCCCTCCCTGCGTCCCACCCGCACTGCCGCCTCTCCTCCTGGGCTGGGTGTGCCAGCAGCGCCCCCCACTCTGCATCTGGGGGCTCCTGTCCCTGTGTGCAATGAGGGCAGGAGGGGACAAGCACCAGGCACGCTGTTCTGGGGACACCCAGCACCGGCGCTGCCTCGGGGGCTCCCCAGGGACCTGCACCCTCTGAGCCCGCAGAGATGCGGGTGCATCCCCAGGAGCATCCTACCTTCTTCTTGGATTTGAAGACGTTGCACCTGAAGGAGTTGTTTGCGCCGTCCCGTGCGATGTAACTGAAAATTTTCAGGTCTTGCGAGTCATGAGAGACGTAGAAAATTCTAGGTGGGAGAGAGACAAAGGGAATTAATTAAACCATGGGGAGTCTCTGCCCTCCAGACCACCTCTGCTCCTGTGTGTCCCCAGGATGGGCTGGTTTGCAGCCCCCAGGACTGGAGGAACGAGGCAGTGCTGGTGCATGGCCCCTCCTGCAATTTTCAAGGCAGGAGGTGATGGATTTAGAGAGCGTTTCAGGCTTGATGGAAAACCTTCTGGTTTCTGAAGTAGGCAAAAGCTTTTTAAAGCTCCTGTGGGAAAGTGAAAAATCTATAGTCTTGGAAAGAGAGTGGTTATTTTTAGCCCCAGCAATTAACCCCTGCCCAGGCTCCAGCGAGGCAGAACTGCCTGCATGGTGGTGGCTGTCCTGCCCCTGGGGACACAGAAGGTCCCTCCTTGGCAGTGGGCAGGTGCCAGAGCACAAAAGCCTCTCCCAGGGATGCTGAGTGCACTCCAAGGATTCCTCTCTCTGCTGCTCAGGCTGCCTCTCCTCCTTGCACTGCAAAACATTTTGAAGATTTTTAGATATGTTTGATTTAATTAGGTGAAAATGTGACAAGTAACTCAGCTCTGAATAGAGAAGAAACCAAAGGAATTCTTGAAATGCTTTTTTTCTTCTGTTCTTTCTGTCACTGGAATTTTTTGGGTGTTGAACTTGCAGTTAGAGCAGTTACTGCCAATGTACCACATCTTGTAGTGATCTTTTAAGAAAGCCAGAGGTGAGAACTGGGCACAGATAATTCATCAGCACATCCCCTGTTCCTGATCTCCTCACTAAGGGCTCTGATCCCAAAATCCAGTTGGGGGATCCCAGTTCTCGGGGCTGTGGGCTTGTGGTACAACAATTCACTTTGCAGATCCAACAGCCTGGAGCACCCTGTGCTCTTAACCCATCCTCAGGCCATGCACCATCCCTGGGGTCGCTTCCCATCCCCAGGGGCTCCTGAGGCACCAGGTTTATGTTCAGGTCAACCTCTGGGTGGGGCTTGTGGTCTCTGGAATACCTCAGTATCCCATGGAAGGTGCTGTGGAAAGTCAGTGCTTTCTTGCCATGTCTGTAAGGGTTAATTCCCAGTGAGCTCTTACACCTTAGAGTAAGGCCCTACTTCAGAAGCACTGGGAGAGCCATGCTCTGAAGGAAAACCATGGGAAGCCTGTCTTCAGAGGCAGAATCAGAGAGAAATCCAGGTTGAAGCATCTCCAGGGTCACCCAGCCTAACCCTGTTCAAAGCAGAACCAGCTTCAAAGCGAGATCAGTTCATCTCCTCTCCAAAATGTATGAAAAGGATTCTCCAGCAGCAGTAACTTTGTACCCTTGTTAATTTTAGATGCTCCTTTGGAAAGCCTTGGTGGAGGGGTCTCAGCAGGTGGGAGGAGGGCATGGATCCCCCAGGGCTGCCTGGCCCTCCCTGGTTGAATCCCCTGCCATGTACCTGTACACAGGATCATGCATCACCACCATCTTGCTCTCGTCCCAGGTCCACTCCTTTCTCTGTAAGCAGAGACAAAAATAAAGTAAATCAGGTGAAACTCCACCAAACTGAAGGGCAGGAAACCTGGGGAACAGTGCTTTTGTCCCAAGCCACAATCCAGACTGCAGTGTGATTAGATGAGCCATGACTGTTTCAACAGCATCTCAGATAAAAATAGATTTTTAAAAATCATTTATCATATCTGATCACAGCCTTCAGGGCTGAAAATGGTCCCTAAGATTAATTTATAACATCAAATATGCAGAAGAGCTAGACGTTTTGGGGAAGAAGGCTTGGAGCAGGGGCTTAGGAGATCTGGATTCAGTGACTTGGTGGAAAGGACAGTGGGGCAAAGAGCTGAGGGGTGCTCAGACCAGGCAGCCTGGAAAAAGCTTTCTGGTATTAGCAAGAAAAAAATATATCCCCTGAGAGATAAATTCTTTGGATAGAAAAAAAATCCTCTTCCCACAGTGTAATATTCCCACTCTCTTTCCAGCAAGGTGTTATTAGTTGGATGGAAGTGTTTTCTTGTGCAAATCCGGGGTGTTTTTTAAGAAAAGGCCAGTTGTGGTTGGCAGTGTGACTGTCCCTGGGCTGGAGCAGCCTCACCTTCTGCTTCTTGCGCAGGATCACCTTCACCCCGTCCACGGACACGATGATGCTCACCTTCTTCTTCTTAATGTTCTTGGCTTTGAATTCGTACTGGGGGGAAGAGAAACCCGAGTTTGAGAGAGTACTGGGGGTACCTGGGACAGAGTGTGGGAGTCAGTGTCTGACAGGAAAATGTCAGGGGTTGGTTTAATCCCAACTGCTGAGGGAGGTGGGAATTTGTTTTATTCTGCTGAGAAAAAACATTTTGGGAAGGACTTGGTGCAGTAGCTGGGATGCCAGGCAGGATCCTGGCTCTGTCAGGAGCATCCCCTGGGAGAGGACAAGTGGAATTCAATCCTCTGGACTACACCCAGACTGTTAATTTGGAGTTGGGAAGAGTTTTCCTGATGCATTGGCCGTGCCTGGTCCAGCAGGACTCTGCTGCAGAGGTCTGATGGGGAGGTGGCACCTGCAGCAAACACCAAGCAGTGACATCCCTGGTGCCCTTGTGTGTCAGCACTGCGCTGCACCGGGAATACCAAATCACCCAGGAGCTGCAGGGAGGGCCAGATGGGCGGCAGGAACGCAATTATACCTCACTCATTTGCATAATCACATTAACCTCGGTGGGATCAGGATCTCTGGAGAAAAACCCTGCAGGTGTCTGCAGCCTGAGCTCACCTCCATTTGTGTTAAAAATTAAACACTGACTTTTAAATGTTGCTTTAGCTGACAGAAGCATGGCAGAGCCCTTCTACTCTGGAGACCTTTGTTTACAGCACTCATCCTTCCTGCCCCCGTTTTAAGCACCATTTTTAGCTTCCAAACACAGCATTTTGATACTCCATATTTCTTGCAGTCCCTGTTTGAAATCCACCACTTTGTCACGTTGCTTTTGCCAATCAATACAGACTCTGATTCGTGGATGGGGAGGAAAAGACAATGCCAAGCAGCCTGAAATCTACCTAGGCCATGTAATTAGGCATCTAATTAGAACTTTGATTTCTTTATACAGCTGGGGACATGCAGGGAGCAAGTGAGATGTTAACGGAGTCCAGGCACCTCTTTTGGGATGCTGAAGTTGGAGGACTGTGTGTGGCTCTGTCACCCAAGCTCTGCAGAGAAGATAAACATCTTCCCACTCCTCAGCACCCATTGTGAGCCACGCCAGCTTTACAGACAGAAAATTGGGTGGCTTTCATGTTGAGCAGGCTTTTGATGCTGCTCATTGAATTCTTAGCACTCTGCAAGGTTTATGGTATCAGACAGACCCCAGATTAAACCACAGCCTTTTGATCTCCCCATGAATTATTACTTTCAGACAAGCTCTTTAAAAATCTATCTACGGCGCTATTGCGTGTGAAGCTGGAACTAAATTAGCTAGACCCGTTTTTTATTTATGGGGAGGAGTGAGAGGAAGAGTGAGGTGGTGAGTGCATCCTGCAGGCTGCTGGGGGCCCACGGGGATGCAGCAGTGCCTGCGGGTCTGGGGTCAGCAGATGGACTCGCCAGGCTCAGCACCTGAGAGGGCTCCCCCACCCTCTGTCCCTCCTGCCCAGTCCCCCCAACCCAGCTGCTCCCCCTCCCCTGTGCTCACCAAACTGTTTGTCCTTGTCTGCTCCATGAATGTCAATAAACCCGGGATAGACTGTTCTGCCCGCTAAAGAGCTGTTTATCTTTCTTTATACACAAATGGCTGGGAAAATACTAGCTGTGCTTTCCAAGAAAGAGCAATACAGTGTATTTTCCCATTGTAGCAACAGGGGTGCAATTACATTCAAACAAGGCTCTCTACTCAAAGGCTTTAAGCAAAGTCCAAGCCTGGATTTTGCAGAGATGCTTTTTCTTTCTCTCTTGGACAGAAAGGAACAATCAGGAGCAGCAGCAGTGAATCTGTGGGTGCTGCCAGGAGTGATGGCAAGACTCTAAACCCAGGGAACTCCAGCCAGCTCCCACACAGCACCACCCCAGCCTGGCTCTGGACAGGGCTTCAGCTCCAGGCAGAGCTGTGCAGCACCACAAGCTGCATGTGGCCACAGTGGCCTCAGTGAGGAAGGAGTTTGTTGGCCCTTCCCTCTCCATGGAGCCCGTGGCCACTGCTGCATCCTCGCTGGAGCTCACGGCCAAGGCACAGCCCAGCCATGGCCAGACCCAGCTTGGCCTGAAAACACTTAAAACTCATTGGTGCCTCAAATCTTTTCTAAAGGGTGAAAGCCCTCAAGCAGCCTGAGCTGTAGGATGTCCCATGTCCCATGTCCCAGCAGAGGAAGCAGGAGCATCAGCTGGGTGAGAGCACCGTGCCCGAGAGGAGGGCAGAGCCCCACGCTGACATCGCACCAGCTCACCTTGGACTCTGCATCTCTCCACAGAAGAGGCAGATGGAACACAGCTTCAGTCATTTAATTGCTTCCTATCAAGCAGGAATCAGTATTTTAATGAACTGATTTATATAAGGACAGGAAAGCACATGGGAAAAGCACTCTGAGACAGCTGACTTTCTCCTGCAAATGTTCAGGCATAACCCAACCTCCTTCCCAGCACCAGGCTCCAGGCTGACCTGTCACTGCTGTCACAGCACAGACTAGCCACTGATTTTCTTCTTACTGTTGAATTGATGGGATTTTCCCCCCCAGATCTGTCAAGGTTACTGACAAATCCAAACCCACATAGCAACATTGCTCTCTGCTGCCTTCCACGATTCAATCCTGTTGTTTGTGCTGTCCTATGGGGAAAAGCTTTCTGGATGCTAAAGGATCTGGAGTTGCCCCTACAAGTGGCAATACAGCAGCCTGGAAGCTTTCTTAAATATGGAGACAAGATGGGACATTTTATTAAAAAAATGCAGGTCAAACAAGGGTAATTAATTTCATTTATTTTAGCAGCGTCATTAATTCTATATTTGCTGTGTTTGACCTGGAATATTTTCCACTTCTGCTCTTAAATCCCTGTGTTCAAGACTTTGCCTTTCCTACGGTCCCACACGCTGCTGGCATGAAATATTAACTTACCCATGAGCTAAAGACTGTATGACTAGAAATGTTAATGGCACTGTGTGATGCATATTTCATTGGATAATTCCACCCAAGCAGATATAAATTACACATGCAGTTACCAGCTTCCATCTGCTGATGAAACTTGGGCTAATGCACATTGGAAATCATGTGCAGTTTCCAGCACTAGGAACAACCTGCATGAATACAGTTATTCAAGGAAGCAATTCTTAATGTGATTAATTACTGAAGGTATCAGGGCCTTCATTATGCAAATGAAAACTGTCATAAAATAGAGAGTTTGCAGGTCTTGGAGGCAGTCTCTGCTTCCAAAAAATGCATCTTCTTCATTAACAAGGAGCAGCAAGGCCAGAACATGCTCCTGGCCATGGTTCAAATGGTGTTTTAAGTTGTATTGAGGCAAATCAAAGCAGAAGCTCTGCAGGTTTTTGAAGCTGGAGTATGTCAATGCCCCCAGTCACAACTGGGTATGGACTTATTTGCATGCCCATAGGAAGATGCCACAGGCTTGGAAACCAGCGACTTCTCCCTGTGGCTGTAAATCCTCCAGCCGGCCCTCAGCCTGCTGTCCTGCCCTGGCCTCCCCCCGGCCCATCCCGGCCTGGCAGGCTGCAGGATCTATGTGTCCATAAACAACCCCAACAATAGCCCGTCCCAGCCCCCTCCCCAGGCTCGCCTTCCAGACGGACACAGGGAGAATGGCAATGAGGGAATGAGCCCGGCTCTGCCCCCCGACTGACCGGCTCCGGGCAGGGACCCCAGCCCCTGCTCCCGCCGCACACGGCTGCATCCCACTGGGGGGGCATCCTCCCCTTCCCTTCCCTTCCCTTCCCTTCCCTTCCCTTCCCTTCCCTTCCCCGTGCAGCTTCTGGTACTATACGAGTCCCATTTTAGGATTTAAAGCCATGATGAATTCAAGTATTTCCAGCTCAGGAATGTAATTAATTTCAAACCAGCTGACCTACACGGGGTGAGGACAGGGTGTTATCTCGGCTGCTGTTTGAACTACCCATGCTCGGAGCGCTGCCCTTGGAGCTGATACTCCGGAGAACTCCAGAGTTCTCCCAGCCAGCGGGGCTCAGCCCTGGAGCTGCCAAACCAGCAGTGTCCATCCCCACACCCTGCTTGCTGTCCAGCCTCTGATCCCCCCTTCAGCATCACATCCCACCGTCCCGAGGTCACCGCCGGCCCCGGTCAGCGCAGCCCTCCCTGTGGCTGTGTCTGGAAAGCGCTTTCCCGGTGTGTCCCTTGGGAAGCGGGAGCCTGTGGGAGTCCTGCGAGCCCCGTGCCCCGGGGCTGCCGGGCCGGCAGCTCTCCATGGGCCGGGCATAGCCTGGGGCTGTGCTGCAGTAGCTGGGCAACACGGACACAAAAGCGACGCAGGAAGCAGCGGAGACCAGGAGGGCACCTCCTGCCCAGTGGAAAAATGAGAATTTATGATCCTTGGAAACATAAAACTGCTCACTGGAAAGCAGAAAGCGAAAAGGGAGTACAATAGGCAAGGAGAATGCTGGCAATGTACTCGAAGTCTTTTTTTCTCATTTAAATGAGCTCCTTCCACCATCCAGCAAGCTCTCTGTAGATGCTGCAGACTGCTCCCCAAGCTGTCATGGGCCTGCTGGGTTTCTGGGAGTCCCTGGAAGGGCAGCAAGGAAATGTCCAGTCCATCCCACAGGATCCCTGGCTGAGCTGGGCAGGGGCAGTGAGGATGCTGCCCTGGCTGCAGCAGCTGGAGGCTGATCACATCAGGGGGAGAAGAAGAAAGAGCTGCCTTTTGTCCAGGTCTCCTTTGACACCTGAGCAATCCAGCTTCAGAGCATTCTGATGCACATGGTAATACAGGCCTTCCTCTTTATCCCCCTTCTCCTTATTTTCAACAGATCTCATCTTTGGGAGGTCCCAGACTGCTGAAGTCTCAGACAGGCCTTAAGGATAACTCAATCTTTCCACCCTAAGGTGACACGGCAAAGGATGTGGCTGAAGTTCAGACATTTCTCTGCTGCAATCAAGAGGATGTGGAGGAGAAAGCAGAGTTACACCCACGGGGGTGAGTGGGGCTCCTGCAGCTGATGGGAGCTGTGGGAGCCCAGGGCTAGCAGT